CTGACAAATTTGTCGCAGCAATAGCTCCGTCGGAAAGTTTTCACTGGGGAATTTTGTAATTTTATTTATATGGTAATTAAGCGCATTTCATTACTTCTCAATTATTTGAATATTTCTTGAAACTAAAATAATGCAAATGCAGTTACTACATATGAATTAGATATTAATTTCATATGACTGGCGACAATTTTGTCAACGACAACTTTAAAACCCGACAATAACAATTTGTTACTTTTCTAATGGAATTTCTCATAAAATTGAAGCGCTGATGACAATTGTTTTTATGAAACAAAACACACAAGACACACAAAACTGTCGAGTTGTCACTGACGGAAATACGGAAAATGCCTGCCGTTACCAAATTGTCACTGTCAATTTATGAAATAGGCCCCTTTCTGCCCTTTTTAGGCAGAAAATAACGGGTATATTTTATTTCAAGCGCTGAAATATTTCTAAATTTTTAGATTTTTCATGGTTTTCTCGGAATTTACTTCTCGAAAATTCTAGGTTTTTTATCTTTTATATTTCTTCGGAAACTAATAAAAATTTTAACGGGATTTTCAGAAAATTTTTCGGGGCTATTTCCATATCTTTAGCGAATTTTTTTCAAAAGTTTCCGCATTATTTTTTTTTCGATACCTTTCGGTATTTTTTCGTAACTAGCTTATTCAAACCTACAGTCTTTATTTTGTCTTTTATAAATGCATGAAATTTGTATTCTTCGCTTTAAATTAGAAAAGCCAAAAACTAAAAATAACTACAACAATTTGATTTTTGCTATAAAATACATATTTGATACGGTCTCTGGCAAACTTAAATCAGTTGAAGTATGTGAAAAGGAATTTTTTGCTTTCACATGCATTTATTTCCTAGAAAATCTTAAAGTTTTCCTTTACTAGAAGTGAATTTTATAACCAATATTTTAAATTAAAGATCTCCAAGTATTTTCAACAAATTTAATATAATTTAGAAGCAACATATGAATTGATGCAAATCGATATCTTTTCCATCTATTTTTAAATTTATTCTATCCTCACTTTTCTCATAAATACGCATATTTTCACTATCGCACACACACACACACACACACACGCATACCTAGTATGTAAGCACGTCTATCCAATCATGATGCACTCTATCTGACACATGCAAATTATATTATCTGCAAAGCAATGCAAATTTCCATAATTTCGTCTTCTTAAATAACAATGAGTGGGGGAAAAAAAATCCATTTTTGCCTTTGTTGCTGTCATAAAACTTTGGCTTGTCTGGTATGCGGCATGTTTGGCATTGTGGTCGGTCCAACTTTTCATTTCCCATAAAGTCAGTTTCTTGGGAAGAAAATGACGCTTAGAAAGCAGACTTTATACCATAGCAAGCAATCGAAAAAAAGGGGGATCGAAGCATAAAACCACATCGGAGAGCGAGACAAGCCCGCAGCGAATAGATCTGAGTCAAACTCACTTACATACATTCACACATACATAAGTACGTATTCAATGAACGCTACTACCCAGTGGGAAAGGGTAATGTTCGGGAGTGCATTAAGTGATGGATAGTCCCTATAACCTTTGCACGAAGTGATGCGTTTTACAATTCTATAAATGAAATCTATAAATATAATTTGTAATTTGAAACCGTAACTAACTAGTTGATAGCCTAACACGCCTCCATTCGGCTAGAGCAGCTGTTGAGGTACGTTGAAAAAAAGACATACTTAAGTTAGAACTTTTTGTTTTATCTGTGGCTTTAAAAGTGCACATTACCCACTCGCTTACCTTGCAATGCATGTTTTCGTTCAACCGTGATTATTAACTTTTCTTGCTATAAAAAGGTTATGCATTTCCATTTTCCCACTGGGTATTTGTGTTCTTGTGCGTGCATGTGTGAGGCGAGTCATGTGGCTAACCAGTATAAAGTCTAATATAGAAAATTGAGAATATTCCAGACCATAGTTATAACCATTCTCGTGGCGTAAATGTTGGTTAAGCTCAACATGCGGACGAACACACACACACACACACACAAATCCCTTAAAACATATTTTCACTTAAAATGAGATTTATGTACCTAAATGCATACACTCGGATTCGTCAGCGTGTGAACGCATATTTATTGTAAAATGAAATTGTGAGTATACCTATACATATTTACATATATATATATATATATATATATATATATATATATATATATATACTCGAAAGCAATTTGCTCATGTGTGTGTGTGAGCTTGCAATTTTCATAAAATTGNAGCAATTTGCTCATGTGTGTGTGTGAGCTTGCAATTTTCATAAAATTGTGAAAAGTCACTGCATTGTAAGGCATCATCAGTCATCGAGTTTTCATTTGTCATAAGCAGCAAGGAATAGAGTAATGCATGCCTGCATAAAGTGTAGGTAAGCAAACACTTACATATTCACAAAACTTTTTGCATATGTACATGTGTATAGTATATACTTACACTTAATCGGTCCATTTTAATTCCAAAAGTACTGAAAACTTTATGTAGATATGTATGTATATGCACCCAGTTGGTAGAATTTTATAAGAAAATTTATGTTCTTTATTTTAGCTTCATATGCGTAACCAGTGATGTGCCATATTGTATTTACTAAATACGAAGTACAAAAGTATTTGTCATTTAGGGATTTAGGGCTTTCGGTTTCTCGGGAATTTCGAAGATTTTCTGGAAGGCTTCGGGATTTTCGGGATTCTCGGTCCTATTTTGTTATTTCGGGTTTTTGAGGTTCTTGGGACTATATCGATATTTTCGAGACTATTTCGCAATTTTCGGGGCTCTCGGGATACCCTCGGGTCTTCGCGACTATTTCTTGTGTGTGTGTTCTTGGAACTATTTCAGAATTCTTGGATCTACTGTGGGATTTTCGAGACTATATAGGGAGTTTCGAGACTATATCAGGACTTTCGGAAAACCTTAGAAATTTTCGAAATTCTTGGGACTATGTATATCGATATTTTTCGGGACTACTTCACTGTTTTTGATATTATTTCATATTCTCGAAACTGTATCAGGATTTCTTGAAAGCTCTTTTCTATCTTCTGAAAGACTAACAGAAAGATTTGCTTTCTAGGAGGTCTTAGCATTTTTTTGGTTTATCTTTTAGCAATAAGTTTTCTAAGAAGTGAATGAAATTAAAACTAAATATTTTTCTATTTAACACAATAAAATCTAAAAATTAAAAGAAAATTTAATTGAAAACAGAACTACATTTCGTAGCTTTGCTTTTATATTGCGCAAAAATTTAACTATTTCGAACATACATAAATGAAATCAGAGTTGACTTAAAAGCCAGCATTTACTACATTACGCTGGCTAGGGAATCCACTTATTAACAAATTTGAACGCCACTTTTTAAATACACGCAACCCTCTTCAAACATTCTAAATGCTTCGCTTGATATGTTTGATAAAATTCGACTTCTCAAACAATTGGCAACCCCATTTTAAGCATTGTGATACATATTTTAATTAACTGATGAATTAAGTTGAATTTATTTTTTAAACATATGGCAACCCCAAAAGAAAGTTCAGGAAAAAACGCTTTTCAAAACCATTTCGATTTGACTTATTAAATAATTTAAATTAAACTTTTTAAACGGGTGGCAGCCCTCTGTATGCACCTCGAAAATATTCGTAGCACACAAACTAAAGCTTTCTTAACAATCTTTTGTTTAAGATATTTTAATATTTCCGTCTCTATAAATATTCCCTCTTCAAAATATTTAACGCTACTACCCTCTTAAACTATTTTCATCTGACGCCCATTTGGTGACACATATTTCTATTACGTAATTGCTTTAATTCAGACTCAATTTAATTTTTTAACAGGTGGCAACCCTTCCACAGTTAAGTTATGAAACAAAGCTTTTCGAAACCAGTTCAAATGATGCCCATTTTTAAGAAATGGTTTAATGTTTTTAATAATTTGAATTGTACTTTTTTTTTAAAGCGGCAACTCTTTTCGAAAAAGTAAAACGAGGCGGATCTGGTGGTATTGATTATTAAATAATTTGGGTTTAATTTTTTAACAGATGGCAAGTATTTTAGAAAAAGTAAAATCGTATTGTACTTCTACTGCGAGATCTCTTTAATTTTACAGCTCATTTTTGAAAATCGCATTATATATGTATATAGATATATAGAATATTTTAAAATTATTCTAAAATCTCTCTATGGTATGCTTTCGGCTTCCCATTCTGAAAGGAGTAATCGCAAATAGAAAATAGAATCCACCTACAATCACACACACACACCTTAAACAATAGCTCGACATTTTCCCAATTCTCCCACAAAACATAAAATAGGTCAAATATCTCAACCGTAATTTGCAATTTGCGTTTATGCCCCCCACTTACACTACAAAATACACCGTTGTTAGTGATTTACATAAAATTCCAGGAATTGCTAAATGACTGCCCAGGGGTTTGCATTTCCCTTTAATATTAATTTGAAAACAGTTGTAAAATAATTTACCACATACATACATACATATGTACATACATATGTAAATACCCATAAGAACATGCATGCTGGGAGGGAAGAGGACGTGGAAGGTCCGAAAGTACATAAGAAAGAACAAAAAACATTTGATTTGAAACCTTTAGTTTTGCTTGAAAACTGCCAAAAATTGAATTGAATCTCTGTCTTTGAAAAGCGTTGGCAAACTAAACAACAAATAGGAATTCCTAAAATCAAAAAAACACAACAGCATTTAGTTGAGTATAAAAGTAAATACAAAAACAATTTGCATGATGTCTTTGTTGCTACACTTGGGCCAATGTATTTGTATCTGTAGCATCGGCACCGTCTTTTGCCTTCACCATGCGGCCCGGCCGGTCTTCCTTTGACTTCTTGACTTGGCTTGAACGGTAATGGTGTTGCGTATACGCCTGCTCTGCTTTGCTCGGGCCCACTTTTGTATCAACGTTTTTTTTTTTTTTTTGTTGGCTTACACTTAACTATTTTACATATTTCTAATGTTCTCTTTACTGGTTTCCTTTTTTCTCGGCACTCAATGCGATTTGCTGTTGCCTGTTTACCGTTTGCTGACTTCCGCAGTGCCACCAAGGATCCATCACATTAGCACCGGCGGACATTTGCAAGTCAAAAAGGGCTCTTCGGTGCGTATTGAATGCTCGGCCTCCGGTAATCCGACGCCGAATGTAACTTGGAGTCGTAAGAATAATATTTTGCCCAACGGTAAGATTTGAATAAGTTATAAAACATTTCAAATAAACATATTTTGCATATTCTACTTCCCGTCCGGCTGCAACTCGCCTCAGCACAGCACTTTTTGGTCATTTTGTATTCTCTCCAACGCACATTTATGCTATGTACCGTTTATTATTAAAAACTTTACTGCTTAAGTTTGAGTGTAAATGTTTTATTTGCTTACATTTTACTCCATTTTTAATTCATTTTGTGTTTGCAACTATTTATGCATTTCCTGGAAAAGTGAAAAATTCTAGCATTTGTCTCGCTTTACGGTGAGTGGCGAGCGCATCAGCAGCCTCTTTGCAGATAACAACAAAGTACATGTACATAAAATTTATGGTACCACTACCAAAGCCGTACTTCAACTGTCATATTTATATATATGCGATGTCAGTTGATTTAATTAAAAGTGTCATGGCTGTGCCCTCGCAACTTGCCACTTGTTTTATTTATTTTTAATTTTTATTTATTTCTTGCAGTTAACTCTGTTCACCGTTTACCGTTTGCCATGCCATATCCTATCCTATAGTATAAACTATTCCCGTGCTCGTGCCTCTTCCTTTAATATTCGTTCAGACTCTTCATTCAATCACTTAGTTATTTCATCTCGCCAGTAAATTTATTTTATTCACTTTTGTATGCCGATTTTCTCCGACAGGCGAAGAGAAACTCCACTCACATATTCTGTCAATCGAGAACGTGGACCGGCACAAGGGCGGCGTCTACATTTGCACAGCCAACAACGGTGTCGGACAACCGGCATCCAGTCAAGTCGTCCTGCATGTCCTATGTAAGTTCAGCAACCGAAGAGTAAAATAAAATTACGTTTAATAAATATTGTAAAATATATGCACATTTGTACATAAATATGTAAGTAACTATTTACAAGTGTAAGGAAAAAAAATCTGAGAGCTTCAGTCGGATATGCGGCTCTGCCAAATACAAATGAAGGCATATTTCTTTATACGCACTTCCCTTATGTATTTTCTTTATTTTGTGTTACTATTTCATTAAAGAAATTATTGGAAAAGATTTCTGGGCCGATCGAAGTGTTACTAGGGATGGATAGAGATAGAGATAGAGATAGAGATAGAGATAGAGATAGAGATAGAGATAGAGATAGAGATAGAGATAGAGATAGAGATAGAGATAGAGATAGAGATAGAGATAGAGATAGAGATAGAGATAGAGATAGAGATAGAGATAGAGATAGAGATAGAGATAGAGATAGAGAGACCAAATAAGGAAAACAAGGCAATACGAAGGGGGGAGTATGGGTATAAAAAGAAAGTAGACTTAAGAAGATATTATTTTACATATAAATAACGCGTATGTGATATAAATATTTATATTAGTGTTAAATACACTTTTATTGTATTTGCAGATCCACCCGAAATATCCGTTGAGCGTCCCATAGTTTTCTCTGGTGAAGGGCACGAAGCTATGCTGGTGTGTATAGTTCACGGAGAAACGCAACCTGAGGTATAATTCACATAAAATTATTTGTATAATGCATTTAGTATAAAAAGCAAAAACTGCACGAAATACCTATAATTATGCAACTATGTAAGTCCAATACACAACCCCTCCCCCCATCACATATCATTTTTTGTACAGATTTACTGATGAATTTTGCACTCCTTTGCCTACATACGTACATAAATATGTATGTAGTTGATTTCATATTGCTTATCGTTATTAGCTATTTAAAGGCTTTTATTTAATTTATTTTGATTGCCTTAACCACCCCCTTAAAGTGGATATGCGCTCAAAGCGCGCCTCACAGAAACAATATTTTCCATAAATGAAATGAAATGTTGCAGTGTGAAAACTTCTGCCCAATACTCGTACTGCTACTTATAATGAAGGTGCAGCAAAAGAATTGCTTTGGGCGGTGACCAGAAATGTCAATTGGCGAAATTATATTAGTGCAACGTAGAGCCATCTAGCAACGTAATATGTAATACAAACTTCAGTGGGAATTTTCAAGTACCCGGCATCACACATACATGTCTACATACATACAGATGCTCACACAAGCAATGTATTAGCCATGCGTCGCCGTAATTTTCCATTTTCACTTTATTAGCACATTTCTGTGAATCATTTGGGTTCGCGTTTTATTGGCCACCATGGTGCATGTGCATGTCATTGGACCCTGCTCTTAATGTTTGTATGTATGTACATAGGGGTGGTTCAAATACTTTTTCCAGCTAGCCACGGAACTGAAGAATATTGAAAATAAGGATAACCGTATTTTTTGCATTTGAAAATCGGTTAATATTTAACCGGGGAAAATACATTTTTTCTTAGAATTGCTATAAAAGCCTTACAAGAAAAATGATTGCATGTACTTTTTATGTCACGCAGTAGAGGGGGTAGAGCAGGTCTGAAACATGCTTTTAACATTAGCAAGAATTTTAAATACGGAAAAATCTTTATAGCCTAGAGAATTTTTGTACAGCTAAGGTCTGGAAGGCCTTGGTTTGGTGGCCCAGCCTAAGCAGACAATAGCTGACATTAGCAAACTAAGCAGCATACAAAGGGCAGCAAGCGCAGGAGTAACAGATGCACTAAGATCCTGCCCGGCGGAAGCTCTAAATGCTATCCTCAATTTAATTGCTATTGATCTCTACCTGAAAGAAGTCGCTATGAAATCGACGGTCAGACTCAAAGGAGGACTAGACACTTCAGACATGGGTTGATCTTGAATCAAATGCAATTAAGTAAGACGACAGATTATATGGAAGGCAATTTGGACTTCAGCTGTAACGTGCAAGTGCTAACACATCCAGAAGAGACTGGAAGATACCGACCGACGAGTGTCCGACCGAGAGGCGATCTCTCTATACACCCATGGATCCAAGATGGATTGCGGTGTGGGAGCGGGAGTCTGCTATTGCCTTACCTTTCAACCACCTCTACTACATGAGACACAAATTGCATGCAACAATTTTCTTTTGTAGCACCATGTGTATTCATTAATTGAATAAAAACTGAAAGTACCAAAAAGTCGATTTTCCTGTGCTTTTGGACCACTCTAATGTACGTTCATATATATACAAAGTTTTTTGCTATTTTGATGTCATTACCATTACTCGCTCGCGAATGTTTTATTTGCTTGGCCATATTGGGCGTGGTAGTACCCCAGGGTAGTAGGGGAATTGTGCAGAGAACAACATTTCCGCATGCAATTTATACATTTGCGCTTGCGCCGTTATTCGTTTCATTGCATTGGCTTATTTCGCCCATTCGCTATCTTCTCATTTGAAGTTTCGTTTTTATGTTAATGGCATAAAATTTCACTGTCGGTGTCGTCCATTGCTTACCTGAAATTGTTGTTGTTGTTGTTGTCAGTACAAAACTAAATAAAAGAGTGGTTTCTCTTTTATTGTTATGTTAGCGCTTTAGAAAGAAAATAGTTTTTTAATGCAGGTAATTCTACATAGTTGAGAATATAAACTCTTTTCCAGTAGCTCCATTATCCCTGCTGTGAGGCTAGAAGTAATTCTAAGGCTTATTCAATTAACTGATACAACTTTTAAATTAAAAAATAGAACTTTTCCAAAATCGGTCGCCAAAAATAATCAAAAATGGTGCCATATGGGTATTTTTGTAATTCACCACGCAAATTATGCAAATTATGATTTTGATAAAATTTCTATGAATTCCCATGTTAAATTTTTTGTGCTGCACAAAAGGGGAAAAGGAACCAAATTATAAGTACGCACGTAAGCACGAAGCCTTTTTAAGAATGGCTTTCATTAAATAGGAATATTTTAAATTTATTCTGAAAACTAAAAAAAAAGAAGCAGGTTTTTGTAACAATTAAGTTAAAAAAATTTAAGCTGTATTACGATGTTTTGATTTTTGGTATACGAAGAGTTCATTGAGAGTGCTTTAAAATTCCATAGTGTTTGAGATACCCTCAGAAGGAATTTTCCAACGTCAACGGTTTCAATACGATATCAACATGCCTACAGACAAGCAGCACTTTCATTACATGCTGGAAAATCTTAATTTTGTTAACTCTGCCAACGTTAGACTAACTACCTAACACGAATTCCAACGAACTTATTTCCTTCTTCTTGTTTGGCATTGTAACAGACTAAGCGAATTTTGTAGAGCCTCCACCTGGCCTTTTCACCGCAGAGGAGGTCTGCTACCATCAGCTGGTACTTGGTAGATTGTTTCGGTTAATAGGTGCGCACTAGGTACCCTCCATGTGAAATTTGTTGTCTCTGCAGCGGCATGACAAACTAATTACCGAAATGCAAACTAATTGTTATTTCAGGCTCACCGAAAAGCGACTACTTTCTCGGTGCCGTTACGTAAAGTGCTGAAAAAACGATAGTTTTTAGTAAATTTTTTCATTTGTATTAAAGCCTCTTCTTCTACCAAAAACCAAACTATCAACGAAGAAAATCGATGGATAGATAGAAAGTCAAATGAAATATGATCAGGAAATAATGTTACTCATACGCCCTGTAGGCATTTAAGTTTCTCATCTGAAATTGGCCATATGAAGTTAGGTAATATATATACCCCTCGCTGTGGTTTCTGCTGCCCAAAAAGGTTGGAAAGCACTTTTTTTCCAATTATGTAACTAGTTCCTTACTGGTGCCCTGTATTTAGTAGCATTATAACTTGACAAAACATAACTCAGATTGTACGTGTAGATGACGTATGAATAACATTATTTCCTGTTCATCTTTCCTTATATAGATCTTATTTACTCTACAAAACGATGTTTCTTCCAACTTTACCAACAGCGAGGCGATAGTCCAAAAATTTTTAAATAATTAAAATATTACACACTTGATATTTCAAAGAGCAAGGCGATATGGTTCTTCATCCGTTAAGGAGTTATTTGACGCTACACCTAAAAATCGTGCCACATTGGCTGGGCTATCTGGTCACAAGAGCGACTAAATGGGGTTTCCTATTAGTAATGGCTATTTGGCACACTTCGAGTGCATTTTGCTTTCTGTGTGCTTACAAAAACCATCTGGCGTTTGTTGTAGTCCATCGAGTCTTGCCACAGCTACACTACAAATTACTTTTCCTCCAATAGGTCAAAAAAAAGTAGAAAACTTCCATCTAAAATAGTTACAGATATGTACTCTCCAGTGTACATATATTCGCCGCATACACTTACATACATACATATGTATATGGCGATTCCAATTTTAGTAAATTTAATTTAATTATATTTAGGCTGCGTTTCACCAGAATCATTTAAGTGAAAATTGCATTAATTTTCGAATTTTTAGTTTCACCAATCAATTTTAATTTGTTTTTAATTTTGATTTAATTGACCTATGCTCTGCACTTAAATAAACATTAAATCAGAATAACCACACTCAGACATGTTGCATTTTTAGTCAGCTGTTCAATATATCTACACACACCACAGTTTTGGTTATCAGCTGTTTACTTGTATACCAGCTCTGCTTTTACAACCACTTTTAGCACGGTGCTGCCATATTTTTTTACTCACTTAAATAAAGAGTTTATTGAAATTGAAAATAGTTTAAATAAGAATCAAACAAAAAATTAAACTAAAGTTAATTTCAATATTCAATAATGAAAATTTAGTTATAGTTATAGTTATAGCCGTCTCCGATTCGCCACTTCGCTGCTAGCTATGTTTGAGTTCAGATCGCTTAAGGACAAATTTTGTATATGAAAGCAACAACAAAGTTAGCTAGCAAGAATGGACAATAGTGAGTTTGGTCGTACCTCATTGAGTTTGTTCGCTTCGCCACTCGCTAACTGTTCGCGAATCGATGACGGCTAATATTTCATTGTTACAAATACTTCAATATGCTTAAACAAACTATAATATATCGAAATTTGGAAGGTGTGGAACATATGGGCAGTTCTCAATTAGTTCGAATTGTTGCATGACTCGACAGTTTTTATTCGGACACATAATTTTCGCTTATTAAATCCAAGAAATGCATTTATACTTATTTTGAGCATAGTTCTCACCAGCGGTTCATCTGTGTTATTTGTTTAGATAAAGTTATGTAGGTTGTTAAGAGCATGGATCTGATTACCCAGGAGTCCGGATTACTTTGATGTAAAACTCTCGCCGAGTATGTTCGTTATCGGTATTCCTCATTAACTTGCTCACGTCTTTGATCTTTTTAGTGTTGCCTTCTGAATGCCAAACGGGTCCTTTTGCCTGAGGCCTTGTTTCTTTTTTTTTTTACTTCCCGTATACGTCTGCTATAAGCGGTACGTATTTATTTCGAAAGTTGAGACACAGATTTTGCCAAAGAATTAATTAATTCCAGTCGAACCGTTTTTTGTACAAACGAAGAACAGACACTGGAAGAGCAAGCGTTGAAAGTTCGATTTGAAAATTACTCATCCATTGTTCGATTCATTGTTTTATACCTGTTTCTAATACTCATAATCTCAAATGTAAAATTCATTCCCTGGACGATGAAAATGAAATTCGAAATATTATAAAT